GGAGGGGAGGGTGAGGGTAAGGGAGGGGTGAAGGAGAGGAAGAGAGATGACTCCCGGGCGGGGTGGAGGTGGAGGTGGAGGTGGAGGTGGAGGTGGAGGTGGAGGTGGAGGTGGAGGTGGAGGTGGAGGTGAGGGTGGAGGTGGAGGGGACACAGGGGTGGTGATATGAGGCATAGCGCCACATTGCCCGCCGAGTTAGCAATAGCGCGTTAGTATCTGCCTTTTGTTTGATTATAGGCGGGCAATCGGCTCGGATTGATGGCCAAAGAATGGATAATCGTGTCGTACGTTTTAGTCTGTATCTCCGGATTGCTTGCGTATACGAGGAAACGATTTCGCACGATGCTAGGCGAATGTACTGTGTACGATTTGAGCTTAAGTTGGATGAGTTACACGTAGTAAATCGTTGGTATTTTAAGGCTAGAAAATGACGAATTTCCCTTGTTTATTGATGTCACACTCCTTTCCTATTATCTACTCCTAATTATATGTATCAGATGTATGCTATATATGCTATATATGCTATATATGCTATGATATATGCATCAGATAGGGGTAATGAACGTCATCAACTTATTTAATTGTTCGTGATAATCAGAAGCAATTAAGGGCACATAGAAAATTTAGCTGACACATTACCCATGCAGATCTACGTAGGCGACTAGGTCAGGGTTATTAAGGGGTTGTCCTATTTAGGCTATCTTACCTTCACACCATATAGTTAACAACGCTTTGGATATTATGCAATGACAGCGTATTATATACTACGGAAACTCAGAAAGATCATCCCACATTTGAAACTAGAAATTAAAAATTAATTCGCTATTCGAAATTAAAAGAGCTTTCACGACCAACCAGATCACGTATTACTTGTGACACCTCATCAGCTGACCAATCATAACGCGGATTTCACTCGATCGTTCGAAGATCTTCGAAGATTCGAATGAATGTTTTATAATAAAGCTGCCGATACAGGTTTTATATACCATAGGTATATAAACATTGATATATATGTATATAAGGTTGCATTATATATATATAGGTATCTTTATAGGTCTGTCTATACCATGCTTCTATCCGCGCGCCCATTCCCTCCCGCTACAGAGATATACGACCAACACAGTGCTGAGATACGGCGGCGGTCGCCACTAGCGCCACCGCTTATTGCTTCAGGTATGACCGCGTATTTGTTTTAGCTTTTTTGCGTTCGATAAACAAACCAATCTGGCCAAATTACGGTGCGTTGAGTTTGATTTGAAAACTGGCAGGCTAAAGTCGAGAGATTTAGCTTGCAGGTTAGCCTATTTCTTTCCCCCATTATATCACTGGATACAGCTTATAGTCTGCTGTGTATATATATATATGTGTGCTGTGTTGCAAGAATTCGCTACTGTTTACCAGCAATGTGGGTCGTGTAGCCCTGTGGCGGGAGCGCGGAGGCCTACACTGTACACACGAGTAGAACTGTCAATTTTGCCGAGTGGAAGTACAGTAGTAGTAGTAGTAGTAGTAGTAGTAGTAGTAGTAGTAGTAGCAGCGGCAGCAGCAACGGCAGTAGTAGTAGTAGCAGCAGCAGCAGTAGCAGCAGCAGCAGCAGCAGTAGCAGCAGCAGCAGCAGTAGTAGTAGTAGTAGCAGTAGTAGTAGCAGCAGCAGCAGTAGTAGTACTAGTAGTAGCAGCAGCAGCAGCAGCAGCAGCAGTAGTAGTGGTAGTAGTAGTAGTAGTAGTAGTATAGTAGTAGTATACTAGTAGTATCGTATATGGCGTCAACATCACACCTCCACAGCCAAACTACCAAAAGAGTTCGCCACATGCATTTAAGGACATATCGGTCTCCGTCATCAAACTCATTACGACAGTTTAATCACCAGAAATGATGCGTAGCTTTTGAGCGCCGGCATGCACCTTGACATGCAGGCACCGTTGGCTAATTAATCCCCATCTTGTAAGTCGCTGCCAGTATGATAGAAGATGTGTGTGTGGGTGTCGTGGTGTATGTGCTGGTTGTCATGTGTGTGCGCCGGCGCGCGCGTGTGTGTGTGTGTGGGTTGTGCAGAGTGCTGTGGTTGTTGCGTCGGTGTGTGGCCGCGTGTGTGTGTGTGTGTGTGTGTGTGTGTGCTTGTGGCATGTGTTGTGTGGTCGTGTGTGTGTGTGTGTGTAGTGTTTGGTGTGTGCTTGTTGAGCGTGTGTAATCTGCCCTCAACCAGCACGTAAGCACCATCGCTGCTGCTATCTATCAGACGTGATAGTTGAGTAGTAATACGCAAGTGCGGATATCAAATGCTAGAAGCACTCAGGACTTCATAACATAGCACCACCGCGAGAGCACCAGACCTAACCAAGGCAGCGAATCCTCTGATAGCTGAATTTTTATTAATTAATTTAAATAATTAATGGAATAATTAATGATTAATTAATTTAATTAATTGATCCGATTTATGTGGCTGAGCGTGACAGTGGGGGAGATGATGGTGGCCCTTAACTGTTTGCGTTTTGCTAAGTCTACAGCCAGGCGCACCTAGCCGGCACAGGACTGAAACGGCATGTCCACAAACACACCAAACGCCACAAACACAAAACCAACACTCAAAGACACGCCGCCGTGAAAACATAACCTCGCCAACCCCTGCGGATACATAATCACATCTTAACTAGAGCACTCAGGAGAGCGCAGAACCTCCGCCAAGCGGCCTGAAATTCTCTCAATGTAAATTTTTTACTTAATGGATCCGGATCCACCAGCAAAATTAATCAATTTTAAGTTACCCTATTTTACCTATCCTGAAAATGTTTTAATTAATTAATTAATTAATAATTAATGGACCCGGACACCACCAATGTAATCAATCGAATTACCCCATTTACGGAACCTATCCTAAAATTTATAATTAAACATTAATCCTGGATACCGATCACCACTCAACAAATCTAATCATGCTAAGATGGTGAGACCC